GGTATTATCTAATCTTGCAGTTATATTAAAATAATAATTGCCTTAAAAATTAAAGTTGATCTCATAAAAACAAATGGTAGAAGAATAAGAACGAAGCTCCTGAGTGCTACCTCTCCTGCCCTAGTTTGAATGTTCTTTAATTTATTATTATTTTGATGCTGAAACCCGATGATAGCGAAAGTGCAATTGTACTCTTTTTAGTTCTTTTGGTATCTGTGTTTCCAAAAGTTTATTTTTTTATGTCTTCAGAGTAGTTGTATTTATAGTATCATTATTAGCGTTTAAATTACACATGCCTTCAAGGGGAGTAAACCATAATATTTTGTGATTTGCATTTCAAACGTAGTGACATTTTACATAAACTCTAAATTTGGCATAGCAACATATAGTCATTGATTGTAATTCGGCATCTTGTAATAGCATTAATTTCACCGAAAGCTATCGGAAGTCTTAATTTTTAGTATACATTTCCCCCGACTCTTATAAAATCCTACTTAAACTGAAAAGGTACAAAGCCGCCTAAATTTTCTAGGGTAGATTCAAGATCTGTGCAGCTTCAAGTAGCCTCGCAGGGCATGATTTACGCTTCATGAATTTGCGTTTTAGTGGACCGCGCTTATCTAGCCTTAGAATAAGTACATTTACACACTCTGAACACTAAGTTTGAGTCTAAAAGACAGTCTTTTTGGCTCTACATCTCCTTGATACACCAATACCCACTTATTTATCAAATTAACGAGAGGAGCGCATGGCTTAAGTGACAATTAAGATAAATTTTCCGGTTGGACTAATTAGAAAATCTGCTCTTACACAGGACTACCTGCTCCTTTCTGTATAGTCAACATAGAATCATTTCATTCAGTGCACATTTATGACGCAACATAAGCCTTCATACTTATTTACCTCCATTATCACTGCTACGAACCTCAACAATCAGAGTTATTCTGTCTTCGGAAAAACCTTATTGAGATTTTTACTTAGTTGCAAACTTGTTCTACATCCTGTGTATCTTTTATTAATATTTCAATTCTTTCTCGTGTACTGCACCCTCATTTCTTACTTTGGATCATTTGGGTGCAAGATCTCCACTCAGCAATCATATCAGAAAAATTAAATCAAATTTCTAGCCATAAAACTTTTACAATTATGCTGTAGATTTCTGTGTAGTATTAAATTCAACTAGATTAATTTATATACGTTTTTTTCTAAAGAAAGGCAACAAAGGACAAGTTGGGCTACGTCAATATTTCTGTGTGTGAGCATAAAGATCTTCAAATTTTATTAATTTATTGAATACAATACTCATATATTAACCTCCAAAACAGCCAGTCTTTCTCTTTTGTAGCCATTGAAGACGTTAATTTCGAAATTATTGCCTCTAATTATTCAGAAAACTAATTTTTGTTGCTTATTTTTTGAGAAAAAATAAACAGTTATCTGTCTATTTTATGCGAGCATATATGAATCCTTACAGATTTTGTGAAGAATTTTATCCGAATGACGAACTAGAAGATAAAGTTTTCTACCGAACGAGATCTAAGAATTAAAAAGGCAATATATTCCGTATGCACTGAAGCGTATAGGAAAGAAGATGTTAAATGATAAGATATTTGATGAAGGCTTGTAATAAGTTTACGCGTTGGGTCACCGAGCTTCTTCTGTGATCGGAAGTTAAGTCTGAATCCCCCTACGCATATATAAGTTGGAGTGGAGCGGTGAAGATAATCCCGAGTGAGATATGATAGGTCGAACTGACTTTGTATGCGTTATGACACTGGTTCTTAGATGGTTAATCGGCAGAAATTAATATAGCGATCTGTTGAGGCCGAATCCGGCTGTAGAAAACCAAAATACGGCACCAGGCTGAGGTGGCTCAAATTGAAGTGACGAGTTAGAGGTCGTTGTCATACTAAGGAAGGTCATTTGGAAAAATTATTGCTGCCAGGAGTTCTTTCCTATGAACACTTTACGGGACGTGAGGATCATATTCTGCTTATTCTCGCAAGGTTGAATAAGCTAGAGAGTGAGGTTTGCTAGATTCGATAGTAGCCACAGGTACAGCCGGCAGGAATGTATATAGTTTATAGTCGGAATTCATAAGCCAAGGGGAGTGTTAAGAGAGTCAATGTGCGAGTGGGTAAAACTGGAAGAGAAAGCCTATTGCGTGAGATATTAAGATCGCATTAGTTTGTTTGTGTGGATACTTTGAGTCTTAAGAAAAGGAGACTAATGAGGACCTCCAATAAAAGGACAGAATGGTAAACGGGTTGGGCGATGTGCTACTTGGCCAAACTAGTTTAATGAGGACAAGTTGGGCTAAGTCAGCATAAGTCAATATTTCTGTGTGTAATCATGAAGATCTTCATATTTTATTAATTGATTGAATACAATATTCATCTCTTACCCGCCTAAACAGCCAGTCTTTCTATGACATACTAGACCTATCTTTTTAATGATTAACTTGCGTATCGTAAAAATTGCCAAGTGGATCTTGTGAAGATTAAAGCGTATTATAAATTTGGCTAAGCGGCTTGACGCAAATTAATTATCTCAACAAATTGAATAACAGACTCATGAATAAATTTGCCAACTATCAGTCATTTTTGAATAAGAATTTAATCAGCCCAGATATTTAAAGTGATTCACCGATCATTGGGAGAATTTTTCTCCCACTGTAAAGATTAGGCCTTACGTTGCCATTTAGTTTCACATAGCCTTGTCTTACAGAAGATTGCCTTCATTCAGGGTTGTATACAGCTTCAACAACATCCCCAACTGGTTGTAGGCCATCTAATGGAACGCTACCACTTGTTGTTGCCCTATGCGGCAATAGCATTTTTTAAGAAAAGGTAGTCGAGACAATGACGTTATAAAATTATTTTATTAAAAAAAATTAATGTCAACAAAGCTTTTATAACCGTTGTGACGACTAGTAGAGAGGATGGCGAACTCAAAAGGTCATTTCAGTCCAGAGAAAAGGTTCACTACTCACAATTAATTACGAGGAAATATTATTAAAATATCGCCGTATTGAAGGACTCCCCAGTATGTATAACCAACTCGTGGTTAGAAAAGAGAAACGCACATAACTTGATAGAACAAAATACCCTTAGGATCATGAAATTGATGTGCATAATTTACATGAGACGTAATTAATATTATATTTCCTAGTGATTTTCTTCCCTCTTTTGAATCTCGGAAACTCTTTAGCCAGACCAACTATAAGAATTAGGAAAGTATTTTTTTAATTATCATAAGTTGATTAGAATTCTTAAATCTAAAATTTTCCCCGTAGTTTCGCTCAATTTTTTCATCAATTCACACATTGGAGGATTTTTAACTATAAACTTCTGGCTCCATAATTCCTATTTATGCCCATCTGGATTAAGTCTTTTTGAATCTTGCGGCTGTTTCATTCAGAAATTCCTCTTGTCAGTGAGTATGCACCTTAATAGGCGTATCATAATAGAAGATTCATATCTAATGGATAATAAAATACTTTCACTGCAGCTTATTTTTGTCCTTGCTTAGTTTAAGATGAAAATAGGTGGCTTAGCTAAATTCAATTTTTAAGGGTCTATCACAAAAACCTCCTTTACTAGGTCACATTTTTCTTGCTCAGTAATGCATCATTATGCAAATTATGCAGGAAGAATACTTGTTTTGGCTTCTGTTAAGAGACTGTCCTAAACGAGTCTAAATGAGTTCAATAAAAACTAGCCTATATGCAGGGTAGTATAACTAGTGTAATATCGTTGTAATAAGATGGTTTACACAACTTTCTACCTCGGAATTTGAATATTAGCAAAGTTTGCTTATCGAAGTTACAATGCTACTGTTAGTTATGGCATTAACTTACGAATACTGCAATAAAAGCTAGTAGAATTGTGAGCAACTCCTTATGGAGATAAACTTTGTGAAAGCTATCGCTAAAATCATGACCATAACTCATTTAAAAATAGGTACTATAAACCAGGATAATTTTTATTCCATGAGGCTAAAGGTGAATAGTATATGGGAAACTGCTTTACGCGTATTTTTAGTCGATTAAATATAATAATTAAGTAGTAATTTGACTGTGATCTATAAAATAATAGAAAACTCGATGGTGCACTACTAATTGAGCCAATTGTTCATGAGTCTGGGAGTAGTGAAAATCTGCATGCAAATAAGAAGCATAAATTCTATCCACTTATGTTATAGCCTGAAATTATCAGAGCTCACTATAACGTTAGGCTCAAAATTGCTTTTGAATGTGTAATACATTAAACCAATCTACTATTTTTAACTGACTTTCTATTTCAGTATTTGAAATGTCATGTATTTTAGAAGACACGTTTGGTATTAAGAAAGTAAGGAGAGTAGGATGACGGTAGAGGATGTGAAATCACTTGTGGATCGGCTCTTATTGAGACGAAACACTTGAAAATATATAACGTATTAGTGATTGGCCCATGATTTTTTACTAATGAATGGCTATTCCTATCTCTGGATTCAGTGTAGGCTAATTACAAATACTGCTAATAATCACGTCTTTACTAATATTTATGCTGCCGTTTTCCATTTATATCTCACTACAGAATAGAGTAGTCAACATACAGCTTACTATATTTTTAACGGATTGTTTGGAATATTATATAGAGCAAATGCATACCGAGAATTAAAAAAATGGTAATTTTGGTAAAAAAACAATGTAGTCTTCAGTATTCGAAGGTGGTATAATTAACGAAAGATTGCCCGAAATATTAATGGAGTCTATTATTATATCATTCAATAGTAAGAAGAATTTAGTAGCTAGGGGTTGACAATGAGATCGTAGAAGGCTCTAAGTTTGGAAAGATTTTGTCGCAGCCGATATAGTTCCCCATTCGAAGGCAGTGCTTGCAGCATTTGACTCGTAGCAGCATCGAGACCAACTAATGCCAAACTATCTCTGAAGGCTAATAGCCCCATGGTCAACTCTTCTTCCGATGTGTCGGAATAGTTTCCTAGAAAAGAAACATAAATGAAGGCACATTATAGTTAGTCTCATAGGCTAGTGGATATAAGTTAATATTTTTAATGCTTCAAAATATTTAAAAGTGTTTTATATTCTGAGCCCTAAGGAATAAGTGTATTATGAGTGCATGTTAAGATGAAAACATATTTTGACAGTGTATTACTAAATTCTAGAAGCTTACTAATCTCACATGACGATCTATATTTAGTTAAGCGAGATGCGAAACAAATTCTTCTGATTCAAACATTTGGGCTATAACCTAAAAAAATTAGAACAGCTTCATTAGCTTAATACGTCACATACATGTAAGATATTGCTTATATCTAAATACTTTTGAGTAAATTGTTCATCATTGTTATATTTTTAAAATAGTATGATCTAAATATAAGTTGAAGCACACTACATTATTACTACTATATTAACCTTGATTTGTATTTTATTTTGAACATAATTATATTATTTCATATCATTAAAGGAAAACGGCCCAGAGATAACATTAATTAAAATTTTAGCTAAGCCTTAAAGCAACTACTCGGAAACTTGTTCTTTTACTTTAGGTGAACATCTAGTAATGTCTTAATTTAATTGGAAGTTTAATTAAACTAATATATACTATTTTATTCGAGGCTATGAAAAGAGGGATTCTACGGAGCAAGAGAGGATTCTGATAATACCCGAAGGGAGAGTATTGCGGATTAAACAGTAGCCTTGAATCAAAACTCCCGGCCCAGTGGGAAGGGTGTGAGAACAAACGGGGAGTGTGAATATGTTACAATTAGATTTAGATAAAAAAGTCTGAAATAATGGTATTGAAGGGGCGATACGAGGATATATGATAATTAAATAGCCAAGGACAGGTGGAGAGATACCACAGACAATCGGTCAAAGGATCGACTTCACTTGTCTCCGACGAGTTGTGGTGTGGTGCTAAGAATAGCAAGGCTCACTGACGATGCCGGCGAAACGTCTGAGAATGTGCCTAGTCCACGGTCCGACTCTGAAAATGATCATGCATACTATAGACTCCGGACAAGATGCTCTCCTCAAGGTCTTTCCGCCAATATGACCAACTTGCGCAGACAAGGTCAAAAAACTTCTACACTATTTTAGTTTATAGCATGAATCCCTTTGTACAACATACTAGTGTTCATTACACATTCATAAATGAATTGATTCCCCAGAAACGTAAACATCAACATAATCAAACAGGAATTTGAGTCAAAATTGTCTTTTAATGCCTTTACAGCAATTAGGGTCATATGATGCTGTATGGGTAGGGGCTCATATTGTACTTAAAGAAGGCATTAGGTGTACTTGGATATCCTGACTCACCTGAAAGAATGGCCTGCAGCAGAGTCGAAATCAATTTAAAGATGGAGACCAATAAATGCATATCTTCTTTGACTCTTTCGATTTTGTATATCCCATTTGTGCCCAGACACAGGAGAAACGGCCCCACAAGTGATGAGCCTAAGGTGCCAAAGGAGCAAGCTGAGAATCGCAAGGATTCAATCTCCTGTGCGAGCCTACAGGCTCTATCCTTTAGATTGGGGCAATGAGATTGTTCAAGAAGCTTGAGTATGAGCAAGGACAACATCCGAGAATCAAGAAAATTAGATGAATCTTGGTGCTTAGCACATATGGAAACATTTATTGTATTTCTTTTTTCTTTTGGATCTTCCTCTGCCTTCATCTCATTGAATCTGACCGAATAATGTTTATTGTCCAACCCCCTCTTTGTTTTTAAGTCTCCGTTGGTATTATTTAGTTTCTCAGTGAATCGCTGCTTTTCTTTATATCCCGGGGACCACAAAATATCAGCCAAAGAGGAGAACATAATGCTTGCTACTTGTCTGATCGAGACCACAGAGGAGTGATTGGACAAAGTCAGGTTTTGACGGTTTCTCAACTCAAAATAAGCCGCCATCTGTGTTCTCGATTGGCCAAAGAGACAAATGTCATATCCATTCGGGGAAATGTCATCCGAAAATTGGGTAAGTCGAGGAAGAAATAGCAGACAGTCGAGTAGGTAGGCAATGACAGTTACATGCTCAGTTGGACAATAGCGCTCTACTTGTCGGGGACTGATAGGGAAATAATCAATCTTAGAAAATAATTGCATGCATATTTATCTTAATAAGACATAGTTTGTACTCTGATGAATTTCCTCTAGGTTGTATGGTCGTTCCAAATATATAAGATTCATTTATAAATTTTTATCTATAAAAGGTAATATTATCATCAGACTAACTTAATTTATTCATTTACTTTGTTTATTAGTAGTGAAAATAGCTATGAGTTAGTTTAAATAATTATTAGGTAGGCTTCTCCGTAACCTTTGAGATGATTTTTGCCGTCAAGTGTACCAGTTCATGATAAGGCTACGGTAAGGTAATATTTCGATTATTTCGCCCCAGAATAAAAAAGGATAGAAGCATTATTGATATTGCCTTTGAAATAAAAACTGTCTATTGAAATGAATCTTTTGATAGAATCCAAAAAAGTGAAACTATGATATCAACCTAATAACAAGAGTTCCCATTTTTAGCAAAATATATTAAAAATAAAATTTAAAGCGGGGGAGAAGTTGAAGAAAAAAGCTATCATAATTTGTAATGGGTTTGTAGCACGAGAAATTAATTGGTACGGGTATGTTAAAGATGATGCATTACCAGGAGAAAATAATGTTAAGGAGTTGAACTGCTTTCTGTATAAAGCGCAAAGTGCAGCCCAAATGATGGGTATAATATTCTTCTGTCTCCAATATTGTTTGCTTCTTTGTGAGTAATAAGCTTCCTTGCTGGACCATAAGGAGGCTGATATGGGATAGATTAATATTATTTCTAAGGGAATCACAGCCCAGTTTTGAGATAGACTCAATAATCGATTCCAGATGTACTGTAACTTCATGCATTGTTTTTATGCTAATCCCAGTTTTAAGATAAGGTCTTAAATGCGCCAAAGTTTTAAGAAGTTTTTCTTCTGTGCTCATATTAAGCCCCATCTTGTCATGCTGATCCTTTCCTGGGTTTAAATTCACTTTCACTGAAACATCAAATGATTGTAGACTGAGTCGATTGACGGGTCTTAGAGATGGCCGGGAGAGATCATGAATTGCTTCCACAGAGTGAGCCGACTGCAAACCAGTTTCGAAAAGCGGGGACTGTTTGGATTGCATCAAAAAGTTGTGGGTTTGTCTTGGAGCTCTATCTGAAGAGGAGGAAATTCGCTTTTTGTTTACAGTTGCGCATCTGATGAATTTGGAGTGGCTGATGCAAATTTTAACGACACAAATATCGAGTTGAATAATAATGCAACAAATAAATACACATATAAAATTAGTATAGTTAAAAAAATTGAATTGAAAAACATATTCTTTAGATGCTTCAACGGAAGATATGATCTATCAAGTATTTAAATTTACCTCTGTAACGCAAATTTTATATTCGTATTAGTAAACGGTGGGTAGTTGTTTATAGTTCTTGTAATCCAGCTGGCAACACTTGTAAAAGGCCTATGAAAGCAATCACTTTTATTATTCAAATTACAACGGACTCCTACAATATTCCACGTTTCACTTTCCTTTATTTGAAGATAGACCAATAGTACTAATCACACTATAGTTTTGCATGAAGCGTAAAAAAGTTTTCATTATGCACTAATAGTGATTTTTGCTTCAGCATTATAGCAAAAATACAACTTTATTTCGAAAAAGGTCTAGTTCAACCAAAATACATGACTTTCACTTAACAAATTTGTAAATAATGCAGCCTTTTATTTAATGAATGAACATCTTTATGTTTGAAGATTTAGTTAACACGATCAGGTGACTAAAAGTGAACAAATGAAAAAACAAATGATTTAGAAACGAAAAATGGGATGAGTTTTGCTAGTCTATATTGCATAAACTATGCAAAATTATATATTCTTATTACTTCTGTCGTCAATATGATGGATGAGATGACATAAATGGTACTCTACATAAATTCTGTTTTCCCAATTTGTAATTATTTTGGCGTATACTTCTCCTGTATCACTGCCCATAATTGCAGCCATAGAAATCACTGCTAATTGATAAAAATAAATTATGCTCAAACAGTTGAGCAAAGGGAAAAAACTCACTTTGTGTGCTCAATCTGCATACATTTGATTTTGACTTTCCTGGCTGGTAAAATTTCCTGATATTTATATCAATGTTCATTGTAAAGTGTGGGATATATATACACTTATTATAAATATTTCATTTGATTATGCCATAATAATATTATGATAAAAATTGCACTAGCTTATCTTTGATGGCATACTTTTTGAAACAAGGTCTTCATAATAACTTTAGCTGATATGATGCTTATAATACGATACTTTTGTTGTCAATACGATCATTGCCGCTACGGAACAGGTGTCTAGCTAAGGAAGCTCTTTTAAGCCATAGGCTTTGGCATTAACGGCACACACTCAGGATTGTAAATTAAAATAAATGTTAAGTGTGACTACATTATGTTTTGAAGGTTTTATCATTTATTTACGTGAGTATTAATGATGTAGGTAAAATAGCTTCTAACTTGATGAGGATATATGGCTCTCAAACACGTAGAAAACTATTTGGAGCTGTTTGCTTAACAAGTCCTTAAACGCATTTAGATAGAAAATTATTTAGAATTACTGCTTGCAGTTAAAAATCAAGCATATACTTTCAGGAAGGTAACCATTAATATTTAATGGGTGGGCTAGAAACTTAATTTTCAACGAAGCTAATATACTTAAATCTAGACTGTTATGTATTTTGTCCCTGCGCCAAGTACAGAGTAAAGGTCTATATAACTGAGAATTCCAAAGCAAATTTTGAATGTCCAATTACCAGATAGTAGAGGTACTATGTCAACTGACCTTGGGAGAGTTTCTTGCCTCAATTTAACTTAATAAGCTCATACAATTCTTTTAAATATAGCTCTGACTTTGAGGTATTCAGAATGCAAAAACGATCCATAAGGAGCTAGGAAATCTAAAAATGGGACTTTTTCGGGGCGCTCACGCCATATAAATATGATAGATACATGCTTTTGAAGTAGGTAAGGATGAAAGGATTCTTGTAAGTTCAAATAGACCATAGGAAAAATTTTCCATGGGATTTGGAGTCTTGATTAATCGTAAATTGTGACCATAACTTGTTAACTTACATAACATACTCTAAGACTAGAATAGAATAAGTGAAAAATGCACATATTTACAATATGATCGACGTCTCACTCATCTGGTTATTCAAAAAAGTTATCGCAAGAGTTGCTGCACTGCTGAAATTATATGATACGCTAACTACTATAGTAGAGGAATTCGGACAAGGTGCGTTTGGCTAAATCGCCCTGACAACAAGATCAATTTGCGAAAACGAGGTCAATCTACTTCTTTAAATCGAAAGGAAACTGTAAACATGTCAAGGGCCACACCATTTTCATATCTTAAATGAAAAAAAGTATCCATAAATATGGTTAAAATTGCCTTATGTAAGGAGAATGGTATAATTTCATACCGTTGGCAGTTGCAAAGTGGGAAGTAGCCAATATACAGATACAATTCTAAAAATAATTTTGTTGGACAATTAATAAAAATAGTATGGTCAACAGTAATTCAAACTTATGCTAAGAATTTTCGTTGTGCTAAAGTGCGAAGCGAAAATTGAAAATCTTGCGGATCACCCACACAAGGATATAGATAGAGATCACAAAACCTTGTGAAATTATTAAAAATTTATTGGGGGAGAAAACCATCCTGTTTGAGTGTATTCGTATCAATTTTTAAAAAAAGATATCCTTCAAATAGGAGCTCTAGGTCTTTAACTTAAGATAAGAGACAATTTATGAATGGGAAAAAGTGAGAGACATGCATGCGAAGACTTCTTTTCCTTAGGAGTTCAAGTAAGAGATAGCAGAATTATAACAAGGCCAACCTAAGACATTGATTCAGAGCTCTCTAGAAAAATGGTGAAATCGCTTGTGGAAGGAGTTAACTTTCATAATGTTAAATACCTAAATTTCAGACCTGATATTTAAATAAAAACTTTTGGATTCACCTATTAGTAGATAAAAGCAGTTTTTAGAGAAATCTGGGGTCAACAGGACTTGTTGAGCGGATGCAGAAGCAGACTATCCACTTAATCTGTGGTTTCTTCAGAACCTACTCAATTGTTTCCTTTAATGCTCAAAAAAGAGTTCTTGAAAATTTTCTGCATAAATGGGAAATCATTTTATTATCTCCTGAGCATTAAAACATTATTCACTTGCTTCCGAAAAAAGTATCTAGATGTATAGGGCCTTTCCTAAAACTGAAATAAAATTCGATAGAACCTTATATCTTTACTGTGTTTAATATATCTTATGGCCCAAGAAATCCTTGCACACAGCTTTCGTCTGCCGGGTGATACAAATTTTAAGAGCCATAGCCATTTTTTGGCAAATTCCACCTCACAATGAGCCAAGAATTGTTAACTACTCTATGCTTCTTAGGCCAGAGGATGCAAGACTTAGTATACTCCTTTAGCTTTACCTGAGACAATGGCCAAATTAAGAAAATTAAATTGGATCAATTTTAAAATCTCCAAAGTTTAGTAATTTCAATATTGATGTGAAGACTTGTATTTCGTATAAAAGAGCATGTTGAAGAGATTCGTAGGTTAATCTCATCAGAAGACATCGGCTGATTCGCGTTGTACTGCGGCTATTTGACAATAATACGACGTTCAGATTGATGTAGTCCACGAGACATCCCCCAACGTTTCCAGCGAAGATGGGCTGAGCTTTTGTTCTTAATGTGACGAACTTCGTCAGAGCTGGGACTCATTCTTTCAAAAGCCTCAAATTAACATAAAGTCAAGAATACTGACAAACTTTTTTCTATATGATATATATACTCATTGCGAGCAAAATTTAAGATATAGATGGATATAGAAAGGTTTGGTTACTTCACGTATACTCTAGTGTGTATTTGTATGTATGTATGTTAATATCTTTACGAAAACCGGTCATAACTTTTTTAGTAAATATACGCCAGCAGAGAAGGATTGGTTAAGTAGTTGGGGCTTAAGATATATTTGATCGAGAAGGGAGCACAAATACTCTTCTTATATCTATAGTATTTGATTCGGTAGAAAAATTAGATTGTGGAAATTCAAAGTGAAACAATTCATTGATATCTTTTCGCATCGAAATATTTAACTCGGCATTAGAAATGGAACAAATGAAATATATGATAAATGGTTTAAAAGAAAAGAAAACAAAATCTATTAGGATTAAAGTTTGTGGGGAGATATGAATCATAAGTTTATGGCGAACATTTTATATCTCTAGTTTATTTCTTATTTGTAGAATCAAAGTAGAATTAAGGAATATAAGAGTAGGCAGATGCATTTAACAAAGCAAAATCAGAGGTTTCTGTGACATTCAGGGGGATATAAGTGATAGAAAGACGCCGACTATAAGTCCATATTAGCAAAAACAACTAGGGGTAAGGACAATTTATGCAGACATTTTAATTCACATATCAAAGAAATTGTAGGCCAATGTAGCTAGATCTTTTTTACTAAGTCATCTATTGTTACTCCTATTTGATAGAAGCGGGTATCGATCAATTAAACATAGAATAGTGTGGGGCTAATTTGGCTAAGCGAAAGCCCTGCTATGCACCATAAATAATTCTTTGTTATATTCAATAATAATTATTTAACTAAATTAATTTTTGATTAAGCATAATTTTTCCAGATTTAACTATGTGAAAGCTTTGCCCATTCTTTATGTCAGCGAAATGTAATGAATAGTAACAGCATAGCCACTAAGCTTTAGATTTGGCACAATTTATTAACGTTTCTTGTGATTACATATAATAACGTTTTGCAAGTTATCTAGAATAACCTTATATTTAACCCAATTCATAGCTCTCATCTTCAGTTTCCTCTACATGATCAAAACTATCTATGAAGTTAACTTTTTGTTATGGACAAAGATTCAGGATTACGTTTACTAGCTCAGAACTGCTGAATAATTTATAGTTTCTTGTTATTTATGAGTTCCATTGTCTGTTGATTAGTCTTTCACTTATGCACTTTTAGACCAAACTCATTTAGTGTTGCTAACAAAACGATAATGTATCTGAAACTTTTGAATACTCACTAAGGGACCTCTGTCATTT